AGTCGGGTCCATGCGCGGAGCATGACGTCGGCCTCCCCCCCGCCGGCTGCGGACCGAGCGCTCACCTTGGGTGTGGTTAAGCGTCGCCCTTAGGTCGCCGTGGCCTGATAATTGGTTCCGAAGGTCGCCTTGGCGCGCCGCCCTCCTGTCCTGTGCATGGTTGTCGAGGGCACGCTGGCGGCCAGACCGGGCGGACTCCTCGGTGTGGACTGAGACATGGTCACGTCGAGACGAGATTCTGGCCATCTTCCTGTGTGTTTCCTACTCAAGTTATGTGAGAGACAATAGAGGCTCTCAATGAAAGCACCAATGTTGGTCCAAAATAGGACGCTCGTAGGCTTTTAGGAAAGCTACGTACGACACTCAAGCAAGAATTAGGAAAGTACGAATATGGAAAGTTAGCCAGAAATAGCATCTCTGTATTTGAAATTCGAATTGCCTTTTATAGGCGATTACAAATGGTAACTGCCGAACATAATAATGACTAAATTAATTACAACATTAATACGGAATTAAACACATAATTAAGTAGCGCATTGATTGTTGGCTGCTACTCTTCCTGGCTGGCAGGTCAGCCTGGCTGGCAGGCTGGACGCTTGAGCTCCCTCCTACTGGACTGGACGGTGGGCTTCCCGCTAGGCTGGAGGAAGGCTTCTGACTGGGCTGGAGGCAGGCTCCCGGGTAGGCTGGAAGACAGGCTCCCGGGTAGGCTGGAAGCCAGGCTCCCCGTTGGGCTGGAGGCAGGCTCCCACCTGGGCTGGACCGCAGGCTCCCAGCTGGGCTGGTGGTCGGCAGGCTCCTGGCTAGGCTGGAAGGCAGGCTCCCCACTGGGCTGGAAGGCAGACTCCCCACTGGGCTGGAAGGTAGGCTCCCGGGTGGGCTGGAAGGCAGGCTCCCGGGTGGGCTGGAAGGCAGGCTCCCGGGTGGGCTGGAAGGCAGGCTGCTGACTGGGCTGGTAGGTAGGCTCCCTGCTGGGCTGGACGGCAGACTCCCCACTGGGCTGGAAGGCAGGCTCCCGGGTAGGCTGGAAGGCAGACTGCTGACTGGGCTGGTAGGCAGGCTCCCTGCTGGGCTGGACGGCAGGCCGTCCTGGGCTTTCACTCTTTGATGGACCTGATCGGTTGGGTCGGAATGAGCTCTGGATCACTGGGCTTGGGCCTGCTGGTCCAAGTCCGGGGCCTGGGCCGATTAGGCTCTGGACCTAGTCCCATAACCCCATCAGGACAAATGTAGAATTTCGTTCAAAATGGATCGTTCTTGGATGTATGGACGTCGAGACACGTCTGAGTTTTTCATTGGTGTGAATGGGTTCATCAAAGCTGCCGTTACACACCAGAAACAACATGGACATAAAGGAATTTTATGTCCTTGTTTAAAGTGCCGGAACTTGAGAAGAGAGAGTGACACCAATGTTATACTTCAACATCTGTTTGAGAGAGGCTTTAGAGAAAATTACATCATTTGGACTTTACATGGAGAGACTTTCCAGGATGGTGAGAATGTTGTTCCGCGAGCCGCCGCTAGTAATTTAAAGCGCAAAGCCCCCGATACTACCACCAACTTAAATTGGAACAATGAAAATAATGGGGATGATGATTTCAATGATGATCACATGGATGAGTTTTTGAAGGATGTACATGATAATTTTGAACAAAAACCAAAATCATATGAAAGTATGGTTGATGCCGCCAGAATACCTCTGTATTATACCTCTACTTTTACCAAGCTGTCTGCGGTTTTGAAGTTATTTCATTTGAAAGCGAAACATGGATGGAGTAATGTCAGTTTCACAGAGTTATTGACATTAATTCAAGAGATGTTGCCCGAAGGGAATACACTTCCTGATACCACTTACAAGGCAAGAAAGTTACTGTGTCCTATGGGAGCTGAATGGGAGAAATTCCACGCTCGTCCCAATGATTGTGTGCTGTACCGGAATGAGTACGAAAATCTTGATGAATGTCCAACATGTCATCTTTCTCGCTACAAGGCAAAAAGGAGTACAAATAGTGCTAGTGACACTGAGTGTTCCAAAATTCCTGCAAAAGTTTTGTGGTATCTCCCCATTATTCCGAGATTTAAAAGGCTATTCATGAATGCAAAATATTCCAAACATTTAGTATGGCATTCTCAGGGTAGAAAAAAATGTGAGTACTTGCGTCATGTGTATGATTCTCCGCAATGGAGGCAAATTGACTTGAAATATCCTGAATTCGGCAGAGAGGACAGAAATTTGAGACTTGGCCTATGCACTGATGGTATGAATCCATATGGTACACTCAGTAGTCAACACATCACTTGGCCAGTTCTATTGGTTATTTACAATTTGCCTTCATGGTTGTGCATGAAACGCAAATACATCATGTTGTCTCTTCTTATCTCGGGACCCAAACAACCGGGTAATGATATTGACGTGTACCTTGCACCGCTTATTGATGATCTCAAACTGCTGTGGACCGAAGGTGTTACAACATACGACATGCATACCAAATCTTATTTTCAAATGCGTGCTATGTTGTATTGCACTATAAATGATTTTCCAACATATGGCAATCTTTCAGGTTACACAGTCAAAGGTGCAAAAGCATGTCCTGTATGTGAAGATGATACAGTCGATTTGCGATTACCTCACTGCAAAAAAAATGTTTACTTGAATCATCGAAGGTTTCTTCCGCGCACTCATCGTTATCGTGCATTGAAGAAGGCATTTAACGGAAAAACTGAGCATGAAGTAGCTCGTCCACCATTAAATGGTCATGATGTGTATGATAGGGTGAAAGATTTGAACACAATCTTTGGAAAACCTTATAAGCGGAACAAGCAGAGCCTTTGGAAAAAGAAATCTATATTTTGGGAGCTTCCTTATTGGAAAGACCTATCAGTAAGGCACTGTCTTGATCTCATGCACATTGAAAAGAATGTGTGTGACAGCATCATTTCGACTATTTTGAATGTTCTTGGAAAGTCAAAAGACGGCATAAATATTCGCAAAGACATGGTTGAACATCTGAATATTCGGAAAGAATTAGCACCACAACCACGTGAGAATGGATTTTTTCTTCCACCATGCAGCTATACATTATCAAAGGCCGAGAAAAAAAGTTTCTGTGAGTGCTTACATGGGATAAAGGTGCCATCAGGGTATGCGTCTAATATTAGAAATCTTGTATCACTACAAGATATGAAATTGATTGGGTTGAAGTCTCACGACTATCATGTTTTGATGCAACACTTGTTACATGTTGCTTTAAGAGGTCTTCTACTTGATCATGTTCGGCATGCCATTATGAGGTTGAGTTTCTTCTTCAATTCCATATGCCAGAAAGTAATTCATCCAGAGAAACTTGATGCTTTGCAATCAGAAGTGGTTGTTACATTATGTCAACTCGAGATGTACTTTCCGCCATCATTGTTTGACATTATGGTGGATCTTGTTGTGCACTTAGTCAGAGAGGTAAAGATGTGTGGACCGGTGTTTTTGAGGTACATGTACGGAATGGAGAGACACGTGGGGTATTTAAAATCAAAAGTAAAAAACCGTTGTCGACCGGAAGGTAGCATCATCAGAGGTTTAATTGATGAAGAAGTCATTGAATTTTGTACGCCATATTTAGCTAATGTGGAATCTTTGGGAGTACCAAAGTCTAGACATGATGACAGACTTGAAGGAAAGGGCACTCTTGGGAAGAAACAAGTAAAGAATGTGGATAATGATTTGTTGGGAAAGGCTCATCTTCTCGTATTGCATCATCTTGAAGTAGTTCATCCTTATGTGCAACAACATATGAATGTCTTGAGATCCCAGTTTCCTTTGAAAAGTGAAATCTGGTTCACTAAAGAACACAACCGAACCTTTTCATCTTGGTTTAGGGATTTAATTTTTAATGACACTGATAATGTGTACTATGATGTTGATGATGATATTAAGTGGTTGGCCTATGGTCCTAAACGACCAATTGATTCTTTTGAAGCATATGATATCAATGGCTACACTTTTTATACTACCAGACAAGATGAGAAGTCAGTGTTACAGAATAGTGGTGTGTCTGTGATAGCATCTTCGACTGAGTATGCTAGTGCAAATGATCAAAATCCATTAAATGCAAGGTTGTCTTACTATGGAAAAATAGAAGACATTTGGGAGTTAAATTACACAGCTCGATCTTTTGCCATTTTCAAGTGTCAATGGGTTGACATTCGTCGAGGGGTGCAATGTGATGACACTGGAGTCACATTAGTAGATTTTAACCGATCAGGACATCGTGGTGATCCGTTCATACTTGCATCACAGGCCGAACAAGTGTTTTATGTAAAAGATCCTTCAAATGAACGATGGTCCATTTGTTTACCCGGCAAGAAAAAGATTACATGTAATTTTGAGGATGAGGAAGATGATTATGTTGAGGAAATGCCCTCATTATCCATCGGGATGCGTGAAACAAACATAAGATATGATCACAATGAGGATGATCTTCCCTTTATCGCACACCATAATGATGGCATTGAAGTGTTAACGGAAAAAGCTAAGTGAGGAATTGTAAGTTGTTTTGAGTTAAGTAATTTAATACTGAATTGTAAGTTATATTTAATATTGAATTATTATAAATCATTATGCATGCTTATGAATTGCAGGTACACACTATGAGCGACGATGACGGAGATGAGCGTGGTCATAATCAAGATCCTCATGGTGGCGGTGGCGGTCAAAGAGACAGCGAGGGGCGAAAAATAATTGAATTTGCTGATACCGATGCTGTCATCGGTGAGTGGGCTGAAGAGTTTAAATCATTCTTGGGGAAGATGGTACGTTCCCGAGTGAGTATAAACATTGATAGTTGGAAGAAAGTTTCAAAAGCGAATAAAGATCAAATCTTTAAAGAGATACAGGTACCTACAAAATCTCCAATTTTATTAGCCAAAATATTTATCTTCATTTCACTATATAATATACGCTAGCACTTTATTTTTGATGTTATCATGCAGCATGACTATGCTGTGGAGGATAATATGAAAAAACCATTATTGAAAAAGTTGGGCAAAATGCACCGAGATTGGAGAAATCGATTGCGATCAGGTTTCATAAATAAGACTCGTCAAATGGGAAAGGATTGTGGGGAAGCTTTTGAGAAGTATAAAGACAAACTTACCAAAGAAGAGTGGGATAGTTTCGTGGCAAAGACTATGACTCCTGAGTTTGTGGTACATCGTAGAATTAAAAAATTTCAATATTTTAATGAAGTAGTTGTTTAATATTTATGAAACATTGAATAGGCTTTGAGCGAGAAGAATAAACAAGTTGCACTTCAGAATATCTATCCTCATCATATGGGTCGTTCAGGATATGTTCTTTCCATACCGAAATGGAAAGAGCAAGGATTATTAGATCAGTTTCTTACCGGTTCAGAAGTAGATTCAACGAACTCTAGCACAACCACTTCTGGTGATATTCCAAGACATGTCACTTGGTTTTGTGCAAGGTCTGGATTAACATCGGACGGTCACATCGTGTTTCCTGGTAATACTGAGGGCATGCGCGAGAAAAAAGAGAAGTTGGTAAGTTATAGTTAGTATATGTATGCTCATATAATTAAATCATGTTTATTTTTTAACATTAAATTCTATTGCTTCTGTACTAGGATAAACTTCAAGAAGATGTAGCAGCAGGAACGTGGAAGCCAAGTGGTCGACATGATATATTGACGGAGGTTGTTGGGAAGCCTGATTACCCTGGACGTGCACGTGGCGTCGGTGGTGGTGTGTGTTATACACATGTCTTTGATCGAGAGTCGAGAAGCACACATCGAGATAAGGTTGGTAATTTGAGTGATGTTGACCTAAAGCAGTTGCAAGAGCGTTTGATAAAAGACATGCAACATTACTTTGTCCCAAGAAGTGAAGTGCCTATCGGGGATTCAATGCCTACTTCCGAGGCGGCCCACGTGGATACTATGAACTCTGCTGCACCCCATCTTAAAAAAACATTCATTGTAAGTAACATTTTATTAATTATTTATGTAGAAAATGTTTTATTTTTCATTTGTGTGTGTACATACATACATGCAGGATGGTGCATCTTGTAGGCTTGCTGTTGAGTCACACACTCATCCTGGTGATAAGAGTTTGGACTTTGTGGCCATGGCTGTAGCCTACAACACGCCTGTTGGGTCGTTAATCCATAATGTACCGATGTGTGAAAACACAATCAAAGTGAACATATGTATGGCATATCGAGAGTTTGAAGATTGTCCATTGCTTTATCCTAATGAAGCCGCTGATATGAATGTTGTAGCAGACGTTGTAGGTTCATATGTTCAATGGCCATCTCATTTGGTTTTTTTTGAGGGAGAGGTAATGAAGTTATTGTTTCATATTTTTTACTTTTGTTGCTTATTTCGATATGAAATTCTTTCATACATTTTTATGTAATAATTATTTTAGGAACCACCGTCTAAGTCAAAAAAGGAGGATGGAGCTAAGAAAAAAGTACCCTTTATCGTGAGAGATTCACCAAAAGTAACAGTTGAATCCAGCTCACATTCATTTGTCAGTGAAACTGTTCTTCATTCACTTACCGATGATCTTTTAAGATTGCATTAAAATCTTGAGTGGTATGAGCCCGATCTTTGTAAGTTTTCTATTCCTCTTCCTGCGGAGTTGTTCTGTTATATTGATGATCACCAATTTGGGACCGTTGTTGACCGTGAAGACTTGAGTCAATTTCTTGAGAGTGATTCTGTTGATCTTTCAATTATTCAGACCTTTATGCTGTAAGTATTATAATAAGTTTACAAGCACTCTTGAATATTTGTTAGACTTAATTACTATTGACTAATTATTAATATTATAATTTCACATGCATGTATTTGTGTAAATGCAAAACTGATTGAGTTTGGTCGTGATGATGTGGGTCTTTTGTGTCCTTGGATTTGTTCTTTTAAGTATTATAAATTGGATAAAAAGGGCACACTGACTTACATGAAGCATGCTCTGACTGAAATGTTTGAAAAGAATATCATTCTCTTGGCATATAATGAAGGGTATGATTCATATATTACATTCGCTTTTACATATTATATTTATTGATCGTGACATATGAAATATTAACCCATTTTCTATTCTCTTTGGAAATATAGGTATCATTGGGTTTTGTTTGTAATTTGTCCAAAGGTTGATAAGGGCTATATTTTCAATTCATTGCCAAGTTATTCCAATATTGCTATTCAAAAAGATCTTACGATGTATGTATTTTTAATGATTTTGTTGTGATATTTAACATTTATATTTAACATTTATACTTGTATGTCAACATTGAGCATATATATATATATATACATTGAGCTTAATTATCATTATAGGATGTATAGAGTTGCGTCTACACAAAAGGGTCGTGGCGAGCCGATCAAATGGCATAATATGAAGGTACTTTCGTCATATATCTTCTCTTATTTACATAAGTTATGCTTTAATGTAAAAAATATCATATTATAAAATAATAATGTATATTTGTCATCTAATATATAGTGTGCAAGACAAACGGGCAACACAGAATGTGGATATTATGTGATGAAGTTTATTTGGGAAATAATAACTTCTGTTGGAAGTTCAGATATTGCACATGTATTTAAGTTATATATACTTCAATAGGTGGATTTCATTAAATCATTTTACTTATATACGATAGTATAATTTAGTTTATCATTACTTATTTTATCTATATTTGTATGATTACTTTCATGTTTGGAATGCAAGAACTGAGCCATATACAACGGAGGAGTTTGATGACATTAGAAAAGTATGGGCTAGATTTTTTGTAGATGAAGTGTTATGACATTAGAACTGAGCCAAACTTGAATGTGTTTTATTATAATGTGATACAAATTTGTACCTTTTGAATTGAATTTGTGCGAAACGATTTTTTCGTTATTCTGGTTTTATGAATGAATGAATGTGTTTTTTTGAATTGGTTGACAATGGATGTGTAAATAAAACAGGTTATATAGTATTTTAAAAAAATATATAAAAAATAATAATGAAATTTGGAGGCGCTTTTTATGATAAAAGCGCCTCTAATTCAGTTTACGTAGCACATTTTGGAGGCGCTTTTTTCGTCAGAAGCGCCTCTAATTCAGTTTACGTAGCACATTTTGGAGGCGCTTTTTTCGTCAGAAGCGCCTCTAATTCAATTTACGTAGCACATTTTGGAGGTGCTTTTTTCGTCAGAAGCGCCTCTATTTCAATCACGCGTGCGGCGCTTTTACTGTCAGAAGCGCTGCAAACTTCCGAAATTATTTTTTTTAAAAATATTAGAGGCGCTTCCAGTCTAAAAAGCGCCTCCAATTGAGATTTGCGGCACATTTTTTAGAGGCGCTTCAAAGCGCCGCACGTGAGTCATTTGAAGCGCCTCTGATTAACGATTTTGCACTAGTGGAGTATTATTATTACTACAGAGTATAAAATAAGCTTACTAACAATTGAGCGGGAGAACTTTCTCTCTCATATGCAGTTCTTTTAAATATAAATAAGAAGATAAGAAGATAAGATAAGCAGTCTAATAATTGAGCGGAAGAATATTAAGAAATTGTCCCATATAGGACTAAAAAACTCTTAAAATTCCTATGTAGGATCTTCTGTGTTTCTTTCCCTTAATAGGACTATATTAATCATATGTTAAAACATACGGATTTTACCCTTACAAAATTACCCCTGCTTTGTTAGCCGATGATCCACACCCCATAAACAAATCAATCCTTTTCTTGTTTCCATCGCACCACAAAACAGATCAATCAATTGCTTCTCTCCATCGCACCGCAAATTAGATCGACCGATTGCTTCTCTCCCTTGTGCTATCATCTCTTCTCTTCTTATTTTTCATCAGATCGATCGATTTCTTCTGCTCGCGTATCAAATCGATTTCATCAACAACTTCATCCCTAGTTGTCGTCGATGCCGATGACTCCACCGTCAGCACGCCGCAGTTTAGTCAGGTTTCTTCTTCTTTCTCTTTTTCTTCTTCTTCTTCATCTTTCTCCTCCTCCTCCTCCAATTATTCAAATTTTTGGCTTTGAAATTACTTTTTCTAATTTTTCTTTCCTTCCTTTCTCTATTTTTTAGTTTTGATTTTGTTGATTTTTGGACTTCTGTTTCAAATTTCCGTTTCCTGATTTATTGATTTTTTGAAAAATTCCAGTTTCCAGATTTTTGGATGATAGCATACGATTTTGCCATGTTTATGGAAGATTTTTGGATGATGGCATACAATTTTGTCAAGTTTATGGCAGAAATGTAATTTAACAATGCAAAACATTTTTTGTGAAACTCCGTTTTTTTTATTTTTTTGTCATTAACTTCTTATTTGTTATTGAGATGAATTTGTTAAAGTTATTGTTCTGTTAAATTTTTGTTTTTTCATAAATTTAGTTGTGGACTTCATATTTTGCCAAGATTATGGCAGTTTTATGTAAATCGGTCAATATAAATCTGCCATCATTATGGCAGATCTGAAAATTTGTTTAAAGACATATTTGAAGGTAATCTTCAAGGCCAAATCTTCCAATTTAATGGCATATTTTGGGCGGTGGGTGTGACGGCAGCGGCGGTGTTCGGAGGTGTAAAGTGGTGGCCCAGATTTAACACAGGCGGCAACGACGATGGTAGGATGGCGGCGGCAGAGGCGTATGGTAACGCTGGTTGGGCGGTGATGGATGGCGACGATGCACCGGCAATGATGCAACAGCGCCGGTGAGGGCGGCGATAGGCGGCGCCGGCAAGGACATGGGCTGGCGGTGACGGTGAGGGCGGCGGTAGTCAGTGCCAGTGAGGGCAGGAGGGGTGGCTCCGGCTTCGACGGCGGACGTGCTACTGCCGGCAGTTGACAATTTATTGTTTCAATGTTTTCCTATTTTGCTTTTTTAAAATTAAAAAAAAAAGTAGGGTTATTTTTGTCCAACTGTCTTGAATTAAGTCCTATGAAACTCCACTTCCGTAGGCAAGTCCTATATGTGCAATTAACTTTGCTATTAGTCCTATTTGAGGCATTAACTCAAGAATTTTTTCCTCCAGAACCAGCAGACTAGCAGGCTGCTGGTCTCTGTTGAACTATCACTAGCAGGCTCCCGCTGAACTGTTACAATTTTTAATGTCCACCGTTCTTCTCCTTTAATGTGTCTTTAAATTGATAGTTTATGGACATATTAATGCCCGACATTCTGGCCATTTATGTCCAACTATCGTTGCAACGCTCTTAGCACCATGGGAGGCATCGAATAAGTTTTAAGTAATTGTATGTTGCACAAGCTTTGGCTTTTGTCCCATCTTGGTTTTGATTTCTTGGCTATTTATTCAATTAATTTCTTTATTTTCCGATTAAACACACCAATTTATCTAACATACTTTTTCTCTCATATGTGGATTTTCCCATCTTGGTCTCTGCACAAGCTTTGGCTTTTGTCCCCTCGGCCAATGGATGCTTGACACGTGTCCCTGTCTGGCATTTATTGCTACTATAAATAGCACCACATTTCCCCATTTGTAACCAAGACACAACACGCAGAAAA